CCATAGAATCATAGAATTGTAAGACTGGAAGGGACCACAAGAGGTCATGTAGTCCAGGCCCCTGCACTTATGGCAGGATAAGTATTATCTAGACCAGTGGTTCTCAAACTTTCTTTTTCATGGACCACTTGAAAATTGCTGAGGGTCTCGGCGGACCACTGGATCTTTCCAAATGTTGTTTGTACCGTTGGTCTCTCCCCCGCCAGAGCAGCCACAGAGCTGAGGTTGGGAAGGAGGGCTATCTCTCCCTGGCAGCCACAACCCTGGAGCTGGGGAAAGTCGCCTCTTTCTCTGTCCGCCGCAGCCCCATATGTCCCAAATTCCCCCCAATCCCTCTTCTCACGCCAAGGCCACCATCTCATCTTACATGTGCGTCTTCTCCAGGGTCCAGGCACCTAATTAGTGGAGCCATGCCTGCGCGACTCCACTAATTAGGTGGGTGGCCCTTCATTCTCTTGTGTGCGGCCGCACAGGCGCGCACCTTAGAGGGGACTATCCACGGACCACCTGAATGGAGCTCATGGACCACTAGTGGTCTGCGGACCACAGTTTGAGAACCTCTGATCTAGACCATCCCTGACAGCTGTTTGTCTAGCCTGCTCTTAAAAATTTCCAGTGATGGAGATTCCACAACCTCCCTACGCGATTTATTCCAGTGCTTAACCCCCCTGACAGAAAGTTTTTCCTAATGTCCAACCTTAAATCACCCTTGCTGCAATTTAAGCCCATTGCTTCTTGTACTATACTCAGAGATTAAGGAGAACAATTTTTCTCCTTCCTCCTTGTGACAACCTTTTATGTACTTGAAAACTGTTATCCTGTCGCCTCAGTCTTCTCTTCTCCAGACTAAACAAACCCATTTTTTTTCAATCTTCCCTCATAGACCTTTAATCATTTTTGTTGCTCTTCTCTGGACTTTCTCCAATTTGTCCACATCTTTCCTGAAATGTGGTGCTCAGAACTGGTCACAAAACTCCAGTTGAGGCCTAATCAGAACGGAGTAGAGCGGAAGAATTTCTTCTCGTGTCTTGCTTACAACACTCCTGCTAATACATCCCAGAATGGTGTTTGCTTTTTTTGCAATAGCGTTACACTGTTGACTCATATTTAGCTTGTGATCCACTATGACCCCCAGATCCCTTTCTGCAGTACTCCTTCCTGGGCAGTCACTTCCCATTCTGTATGTGTGCAACTGATTGTTCCTTCCTAACTGCAGTACTTTGCATTTGTCCTTATTGAATTTCATCCTATTTACTTCAGATCATTTCTCCAGTTTGTCCAGATCATTTTGAATTTTAATCTTATCATCCAAAGCACTTGCACCCCCTCCCAGCTTAGTATCATTCACAAACTTTATAAGCATGCTCTCTGTGCTATTATCTAAACCACTGATGAAGATATTGAACAGAACCAGACCCAGAACTGATCCCTGCAAGACCCCACTCAACATGCCCTTTCAGCATGACTGTGAACCACTGATAACTACTCTCTGGTTATCTGTTTTCCAACCAGTTATGCACCCACCTTATAGTAGTTCCAACTAGGCTGTATTTCCCTAGTTACGGTAGTTTATGAGAAGGTCATGTGAGACAGTATCAAAAGCCTTACTAAAGTAAAGATATACTACCATCTACCACTTCCCCCCCCATTCACAAGGCTTGTTACCCTATGAAAGAAAGCTATTAGGTTGGTTTGACACAATTTTTTCTTGACATATCCATGCTGACTGTTACTCATCACCTTATTATCTTCTAGGTGTGTGCAAATTAATTACTTAACAGATACTGAAGTTAAGCTGACTGGTTTGTAATCCCCCAGGTTGTACTTATTGCCCTTTTAATAGCTTGGCACTATATTTGCCCTCTTCCAGTCCTCTGGAATCTTTCCCATCATCCACGACTTTTCAAAGATAATCGCTAATGGCTCAGATACCTCCTCAGCCAGCTCCTTGAGTATTCTAGGATGTATTTCATCAGACCCAGGTGACTTGAAGACATCTAATTTGTCTAAGTAATTTTTAACTTGTTGCTTCTCTGTTTTAGCTCCTAATCCTACCTCATTTTCACTGGCATTCACTACATTAGACACCAATCGCTACTAACCTTTTTGGTGAAAACTGAAACAAAAAAGTCATTTAGCACTTTTGCCATTTTCACAGTTCCTGTTATTGTTTTTCCCCCCTCACTGAATAAGGGTAAAGCTCATCTGTGCTGTCCCCAGACTGTGGAACAAACTCCCGCAGGGACTAAGCACCATCCCAGACTCACCACCGTTCACTCCAAATGCCAGATGCACTTCTTCAATCTTGCCTTCTCTAATATAAACACAGAGCAGTGTGTACAATAAAAAAAAAATCAAAACCCCCCAAACAAAACACTCCACAGCATGCACACAATTGTCCCCCGGGAGAGAGGATGTGAGAGAGAACAAACCAGATGGGAAAGATGTTAGACGTGTCGTGTAATGCACTATGTGAAGGCACTCAGGTATTATGGCAATGAGGGTGGTATAAGAACCTGTCGAAAACAGCATAGTTTCTCTCTCTTCTATTGTGTATGCATCTGCCTCACTCAACTAAATGTTGGTTACTTCTGCTTCAATTAATCTGTGATTAATCTTTTTTAACTGATCACATGTAGGAGGTAATGGACCGGGGAGACGGGGAATGGTGGAACGGAAAATTAGACATCTGTCCAAGCAGAAGACAATGTTATAGATTTAGATATAATAAAATAATAATAATAATAATCTCTTTTCTTTGCACTGTTGAGTAATTTCAGCATTTATTTCATACTATTGTTAAGCTTGTTTATAATAGATATATTTATATATAAAGTAGAATAGAGAAAAGCACAAGATATATTTTATAAATATTTCTGTATGTTCTGCATACAAAATAAAATATGTACATCCACAGATAGTGGTTCTGTGCTGTTGTCACGGCAGGACCATACATTTCATTCACATACTCCGGCTAGGTCTGCTTAGAATAGCTGACATCTCGCCTTGTCTGGAATTTCTAAAGATGTAAACACACCTCCCGCACTGCTGATGTCTTGGCAATTTCTTGGCTCTGAGTTTATAGCTTCGTTGAGGGAGGAGGGATGGTGCCATATTTATGTTCGGACTGGATGGGACAAGGCATCGGAGTAACAGTGAATTAGGGAGTAACATCCAATGGTCGAGAGAGAGGAAAGGGATACACATGAGTCGACTTTCCATTTCCATTTTACTTTGACTTCACTGTGTATTTCGTTACGTCCCACGGCTGCTCTCTGGTCACTTAGCCCCTGTGTCCAATGGGCTCCTCTCACTACACCCGGATCACATTGACACTGGGGTCCAATACATTTTTGTGAATACTTGAATTTGACACCTGGCAGCCTACACTAAGTAGGGACAAGACCTCCGGTCCTTAGGTAGAACAATAACTTTAGTCTCAGCCCTGGACAAAAGAAAAGGGTTAAATTGATTTGCATGTGTTTTCATTTCAGGGGCAGAACCAGGAATGTTTCTGGCTTTATCATGCTGAGTGGATTCTCCCGTCCTAAAAATTTAGTCTTTGGAAACAAATACAATGATTGCTTTGAAGTTATAGTGCATCCCTTGTCAGGGATTGTCCTGTAGGCTACTGGAGAATCCAGGCCCTTTGTGGTAGGATGCATGAGCAGATGTTAGCCTGTATTATTTTCAGCCACAGCTGTTTTTCCTCCCCGGGAAAGTTTCTCTTTGTTTCTTACAGTACTAAAGGCACTTGTTAGCTGGATGTCGTTGGCAACCATATGGCATGTTTTTGCAAGAAGGTACGATCCAAAATGAGTTTTGGCTTAAGCCTCTTGTCTTCTCAGGAAGAATTTGATTGGTGGGAAAACCTTCCCCTTTTTACATTTTAAAAAACAATGTTATATTTACTGTTGTAATTGAATTCTCTTTATATCATCTCCAAGTCCATGTCTTTGCAAGATAAACGATATCTAGTCCAGGAAAGGTTTCCTCCTCTATGAATAGTGCTTTGGTGCCATTGGCATCTAAGCTCTTTGATCGAGTGGGAGATGTTTCATTTGCACACGTATCTTTCAACAGTCCTCTCGCATTTTTTACAGGTCACGTAGCAGCACCAGTGGTATTTGCAGTGGCACCGCTCCACCACTTTGTCCATGTACGGGTTGTAGCCTCGGCCACAGCACATCAGGTCGCAGCTGTCGCTGCCGTTGGAGGTTTTGTTGCATTGCCTGGAATAAAGGAGATGGGGGAATTAGTGCAAATCATCACAAAGTCTGTTTAGAAATGAAGTAATCGTCTATGTCTGCAATTGTGGCTTGGCTTGTGCGGATGTGCCAGGCATGGAGGAGGGGCCGTGGGACTGATCTTCAGCTGGGCTAACTGGATGCTTAAACTACCTGGGGATCTGCCCAAGGAGCACGCCGCACCTGCAAAGAAGCCAGATAAATTCTCAGTCCCTGTGTTCTGGGGCCTGAGCCAAAGCCCACTGAAGTCAATTGGGAGTTTAGAATCCCCAACTATGCAAGCGCTGGAGATGCTAGCCCCAACAAGAGCACTAGTAACCCCGCAAGGGTGGGGAGGGATGAGACTAGGTCAGTACCCTTGTGCCATTGCCCATATGCCTGCACATTGGCCAGCAGCACCGGGCTAGCGGAGACGACAGCACTGCCGACCCTGGAAAGGGTGCAGAAAGGGCCACGCACTCCCTGAGGCACTGCAGAGGCCAGCTGCACAATGCCTGAGACAGGGAAAGTCACCTCCCTGTCTTAAAGCCATGGTCTAGCCACAACTGTGTCAGGTACATTACAGCAAATCGCCCTGGGGTAATACTTTGCACTTCTGTGGGGCCTTCCAAATGAGTATCTCACAGCCGTGTACAAACACCAGGCCGTGCCTGGCTCTGACATTCCATCTCACGGCCGGCCGTGGGGCACATGAGTAGTGCAGAATGATACATGTAGCTTATCATACAGATTTATTCCTTTTCTTTCTTCTGATTTTAATTAAACCCATCCTCTTGAGAGTCAGTCTGTACTTCTGTATGGTTCTCTGGGGTTGTCAGCTGGAATAATTTCACAATGCTGGCTTAAATTTTCAAAAGTAACTGGTGATTTTGGGTGTCACCTTGACACACCTTTAAAAGGGCCTGATTTTCTGAGGGTAGATGCCCAGCCTTTCCTGAAAACCAGCCCCCACCCCTTAAGGTGTCTCGAGTTGGGCATGCAAACATCATTAGTCACTTTTGAAATGTGGGTAGTGGGAAGTTCATGTCCACCTGGTAAAGCGGTGCAAGTTTTGCCTGGCTCTGAGGCTGGCATCAAACACTGCAGTGAGAAAGCACCATGGTGAATAAAACCAGCATATGGGGAAAGCTGGTCTTATGGCTAAAATACTAGCTGGCCACTCAAAAACTTTGAGTTCAACTCCTGTCTCTGCTACAGATTCCCTGTGTGACCTTGGACAAGTTTCTTAATCTCGCTCTGACTCTGGTTCTCATCTGCACAATACCAATAATGCTTCTTGAGTACTTAGAATGTAAGCTCTTTAGGGGAGAGACTCTGACTACGTGTACTTAGAGCACCCAGCACAACCAGACCCCAGACTTAGCTGTGGCCTCTAGACGCTAATATCAAGTGAGAAGCATTTCCCTAGGAAACTGCTCAGACATCGTTTCTAAATCACATTTTGCTTAGGTTATTTTGGCCAGAAGTATTTTTACATCAGATCGGGGGGAGGTGGGAGAGAGGAGAAGGGAGAGTGAGGAGGGAGAATTGGACTCCTGTGCTGAGCACGCCATTAACAGCTGGAAATGAAGCCAAGTGATTTATAGGAATTCCTCATGAGGTAATGCTTTATGAGACGTTATAGGATTAATGAAGTGCTGGGAATTTTGTTCTTGTTCTTCCCTTATTTATTTCTGACTCGGTACGACCTTCTGTTGGTTATTTCTGACCTCCATTCATGGCCAGGTTCCATTTTTAAAGTTTCCCCACTCATTCCCCCACCTTGGGAGTGCGGGTACATATCTACAAACCTCTGGTAGGTTAACCAAAACCCGCTCATAATTGTTATGACCAACAGTCAAAAGCTCAGTCCATAACCACACTGTGTGTGTTTACCTAACGTTGAACGAGCGGCAGTGTCGTATACGCCTGTGACCCTGCGCCCCCTCCAACAGGAAACCTCAGAATGACTCCTCATAAACATATTAGTCAATACGTTAAATATTTAGAGCAAAGGTTCAAATACATAAATATTAACATTATGGAGGGGCTTTAAAGGCTTAGTCAGCTTTGACGGAGGTTGGGAAGGTTGAAGCCACTGGATTCATTTTGCAAGGCTCATGAGTTCATAACAGGCCATAAAATTAACATGTTTGGGTATGCGATGCATCCATGCCATCTTGTACAATTCAGCGGGAGCTAAGCAGAATTGGGTGGGGCTAGTACTTAGATGGGGCTCTCCAAGACACACACAGCTGCTTCAGGAAGTGGCATGGATGATTTGATGTCACTCTTTCCTCTGAGTCGTTATGGAACCAATACCCTAGTATAGTGTCAGGGACACTGTGTCTTATAGGGACACTCATATGGCTCTGTAGTGAGATATATTTAGCACATTATGATCAAAGTTACCCCCAAACTAGACATGGAGCAAAACAGGTACCATTTATCTAAAATCTTCCCCCTCCTCCTTTCTTCCCACCAAAAGACTGAAGGTTTGGATACAAATGGAATCCAATCCTGTACTGCCTGTAGAGTTAGGGTTTCCCAAAACTAAATTCACCCCACTTGGCCTCACATAGAGAGAGGGGAAAAGAACACATTATAAGAGAATGCCAATCTTCCCTTCATTTTGTCATTTTGGATCAAAGAGCTCAGAGCTGAATCATTCTGATTTTGATTTCGCAAAACCTCAGCCTGTTAAGGCCACCTCTGCCCCAAACATGCTTTTTGAACAATTTTGTGTCAATACCATTAAACAACTATCTCGGTCTCTGTTGTAAGTGTTGGGATTCGGTGAATAATACCCAAATCTTTTTACAGACTGAAACAGCTGCTGGTACCTATAGTATTTCTTCCGGACCTATGTGTATGAGTAGCTAAAGACGAGCAGGGACAGGACCTACAAGTTTGTCCAAATTAGCAGACAAATCATATTTTATATACAGGAACAATCCTTTGATGTTGGCTTGTCACGGAGCCTGGTTCTAATCCCACCTGGCTAGACTGAGCCTTATTTGTACTTGTGTAAATCCAGTGCAATTCCATTGACACCAGTGCAATTCCACTGCAAGTGAGAATCTGGCCCATTGGTTTCGAACCTAGCACTGTAATTCCTAGAAATATTTGCAAAAACAATAGAAAATAATGTACCAGCCACCTCCAATGAGACATAAAACAAGCGCCCCTTAAATAGCCCCCGGAGCCCTGGGGTAGCAGCGACAGCCAGGGGCTCCGGCAGCGGTTTAAAGGGCCGGGGTGGCTGAGCCCCAGACCCAACTGTGCTCCTTAAAGACGCCGTGACATTTTTTGCAACGAGAGGGGAGGTTAGCCAGTAGCCTAGCCAAATTTCACTCACACTCTGCCCAGCTAAATTTTCCCAACAGTGCTCTTTACGTCTGTGGCTACTGTTGTGTAGTAGTCCTTGGTTCAGAACAGCTCCATCGCGTCCCAGAAGTGACTGTATTGCAGTGACGACCTAAGAGACTCTTGAACCCACAGGGTCACAGGTTATACCTACGTGAGTCTTCCCACAGACAGCATAGGCTAAGAAATGCCACAAGCACAAACACATGGAGAATCCTCTGAACCATTCACTCTGGGCCCCCTGTGGAACTGGCAGGTGGTTCCACCATGTCAACTCCCTGATGGTCCAAGATCTGTGTGAATCCCAGACCACGCCCAGGGGAAAAGACCATTAGTGTAAAGACCAAATGCTCTACCAGAGCTCCCTCAAGAGCTAGGCTGCCATGTATTCCCTACTAGTGGTCTTGCCGCAAAGGAGGGATTGTAGCTCCTTCAAGGAGTCCCTGCTGATCTTGCACTCAGATTCCCAGTTAGAAATCCAGCCATGCCAGAGGGGAGCATGAGATGGAAAGCAGCTGCGTCTAGCTCCACCCACTCCTAGCCACTCTCACCCACTCCTCAAACCATGGAACCCTGACCAGGTAGAAGGGCTTCTACAGTGTCTAGGGCCCAGGGTAGAGAATGCATCAGAGCTTCAGCTCTCCTCCTAGTTGTGGGTATGCATCTTTTTTAGCCACACCTTGCTGCTCTCTGCCCCAGGCTGCAGAGAGTCTGTAGCGTGTAGCCCAACTTCTTCAAAGCACTTGGGGATGAAAGGTACTATATAAATGATATAAAAGATTATTACTCTTATTATACATGCTAGTCCAGTGAGAACTTGAGCAAGCTCTTCTAAGTCAAATCAAATCATGGCCTGATGGCCCATTGTCCTGCATCATGAAGTTACTCATCTTGTGTCACAAGACTTAGAATAACTTGTTGGGAGCTATCGTGTCCTTTTGTGTAGATATGAATCTGCGGGATGGTGCTCTAGGCACTGCTCTATGCTAGTTTCCGATGACGTATCACACAGGAAACAGGAAACTTAAAATCATGTCACCGTTTTTTTAAAATTGTATAACTCCATATTTTCATGAGTGCTGGAAGGAGCTGTTCTAGTTCATAATGGACTGGAAATAATACAGATGTTTAATATGATATAAATTGTTATTTTATACATCAGGCCAAAGCCAGAGGCCAAAGAGCCCTTGCAAGATAATTCCACAAGACAATTTGTTTCTCTTACTTTTAGTACTACTGTGACATTGGAGGGAGCGGAGGAAGGGGCAGAGGGTGGGGAGGAAGACATTTGGGTTGAGATTTTCAAAACCATATATGGGATTTAGATACACAATTCCCATAAAAATATAATAGGCACTATGTGTCTCAATCACCTAGGCAGCTTTGAAGATCTAAGCCTTGACTCAACCACCCTATAGCCTAATGATTAGCCAGCAGGTGGGACATACGGGTTCAAATCCCTGCTCTAAATTAGGCAGAGTGGAGATCTGAACACCTGGGTTTCCAACATCCCAAGTGAGTGCTCTAACTGCTAAGCTATCCGAAATAATTGGGAACCACCCCAGTGGTTTGAGCATTGGCCTATTAAACCCAGGGTTGTGAGTTCAATCCTCAAGGGGGACGTTTAGGGATCTGGGGCAAAAATCTGTCTAGGGATTGGTTCTGCTTTGAGCAGGGGGTTGGACTAGATGACCTCCTGAGGTCCCTTCCAACCCTGATATTCTATGAAGTAGAAACAAAATGGGGTAACTTAGTTTGTACAGCACCTCACACAGTGGGGTCCTGGTCCATGACTAGGGCAACTGAGAACTGTAGTAATATGGGCAACTGAGAACTGTAGTAATATAAATGATATAAGAACAGTATTGTGAGCTGTCATGTTTATCATCTCTAAAGGAGCCCAACTCACATCAGTTCAGTCTACAGGTTATACAGGCAGATTTTTCTAGTTCCAGCTGAGATTTCTCTGTGCCTTATATGATCCATCATCAGCAATATGGACATAACTGACCATTGTGTTGGCAGTAGAATAGGAGTGCTCAAAGGCCTTTGCCATTGCTCTTAATTTTATGAGGAAGGCACTCAGATTGCAGTGATGAGTGGTAGTATCAAATTGATAGAGAGTCAGAGAGAGAGAGAGAGAGAAAGGAGCCAGCTAATTCTCCCATCCTTTAGAAGAAGTGAAAACAAATGCAGTCTGGTAAGATGTACAGCAAACCAGGAAGGGATCCCTACGATGTAAGCCTTGCAGGGCTGGGTGACAGGTGACTGGGATGTGGATGGTCAGGCCTAGTGGTTGGAGCAAGAGTCAGGCCTAGAGGGTAGAATGGGAGTCAGCAGCCAGGAACCACAACCCAGTTTCAGAGCCAGGGTCAGAGACCAAATGCCAGAGCCAGAATCAGAGACTGGAGCCAAGGGTCAGAGCAAGAGGTCAGATGTCAGGACTTAGAGCCAAGGGTCAGAACCGGGTTACCTGCAGTGAGGCAAGGCTGGGAACAAGCAGGCACTGGAGCTATCACACGAATGCTTTGAGCAGCCCTGAACAACAAGAACAACTGCTGGGCTTATGAGCCAGTCTGTGGCTGACCCTTCCAACCAGCCAGGCAGTGTAGCCAATCAGGCAACCTGCTACAGGCCAGCTGTTCCCATTGGGATGCTCGACACTGGCTCTGCTGCAAGGTCTGATTTCTGACACAGGGTTCTGTCTACTTAAATTCTTCTAAGACACCATGAACCCATGTAACACTGTATGAATGAACAGAGCCTGTCACCATGCTACTGGTGGGATGCAGAGAACTACTGAATGTATTTAGCAGAACTGGACTAACTATTCATCACGAATACGATACCCAGTGTATTTTCCCTGTTTGTGAACTTACTCTTTTTGGCGCCAATATATTCATTATTTGCAAAGTATTTGCTGAATAATTCATAGCAGAGCCCAGAGGGCATCCCAGTTCCACTGAGTGAGGTGTATCCAAACCCCCAAGGCAGAACCAAGCCCAATGAACCCAGTAAAGCACATATGTTCATAATCTGAACATCTTAACCGTCTATTGTGAGTGATGTCTCAGGTAGGCTGAACTTGGTAGAGTTTGGGAGCGTATCACTACTTTTATATTTTTCAAATTCTGCCCTGGCTTATACAATCAAATTTCAGCCTCTGGGACGTTTGCAAAATAAGTATGGGTATTCACTGGGTCACGCTTTATGAAAAGTTTATATATATAAACGCATGATATGTTTCTAAAAAGTTTAATAAATGATTAATACAAGTTATAAGCATGTTAGAGGGACAAGTAGTATGGTGCGATTATTAGTTGTGAATGATTGGTCCTCATTACATCCTTTCTGCTTCCTGGCTGGATGACTGAAACAGCTTAAGCAGGAAAATAATTAATAACAAGTAGCAAGTGCTGCTGTTCACACACAAATACCCTTGTCCACACGCAAATGCTGGTGCTTGTTCTAGAAACAGCCATTCCCCAAACAAGAAAACCTTGTTTGTGCTAATGTTCATGAACAGCGGGATGGCACGAGACACAAATGTGACCAAACCAAACAGCTACTCATTCAGAATTCCAGAGAACTCCTGGGCCCTGTTTTACAGCATTCAACCAGCCCTACTGGTTAGCCTCCAGAAAACTGCAGAATGATTTTCTGCTGCCCAGAAACCTCGCCCTCAGCAATGAGAAGTGGCATCCGCTGCGCTCCAAGACCGTTCCGGGACAGATCAGTAATAAACAGCTCACTAATCTTTGTGGGATTCTAGCAGTACAAGACTTCTGTGTGCCTGGCAATATTTCCCTTTCAGTCACTTTCCAATGGGACTTAAACCAATATTTGAAATATGATACATTGCACCCTAATGATAAAGAAAGGGAATGCCTTTGCCTCTTTTCCCACAGACTGGATCCCAGTTTCATAATCTGGTATAATTTATCTTTGATTTGAAACGGATGATGAATTTTCTGAAATACCTCATTGAAGAGACGTTATAGAGTGTTTTCTCACAAGTACGCCCCGAAACCTTAAACCATCTTTCTCTGTGGTTCAACTTGTTCTAGTTATTGACAGTGATAAATTTGGGGATCTGCTTCATGTGTCAGCTGCTCTGGTTATTTATTTTCTCTCAAGACCATTTTTCTTTTATATAAAAAATGTGGCAGTGATTCATAGATTGATGTGCTCTGTCTTACACTGATAAGAACACGGATCCATTGCAAGACAGTGGTTAACAGAAAGGGACTCAAACTGCAAAATTCAGACCCTGCTCCAGATTTTGTACACGTCAAAGGTCTGGGAGTGTTCGGATCTCAGGCTTGGAATGAGGTTTGACTTCTGTGGGTTTTGATCCAACACCATGTCTAGTTTCAACATAAAAACATAAAATAGCCCAGTTTGACTTACAAATGATCCCAGGTTCATTCAAAATAAGGCCTAAGATTTCATTGAAAGACTTTTGATTAATCCTGGGCTCAGTTCTAAGTGAAACATTTCACACAGCTCTGCTGCAAAGAAAGTTGGTTCCCCTGCCACTCCCCAAACTCCATGATTAGTGTAAGCAATGGGAGGGATAACTAGATAACTGTAGAAGTTAGAGAAAGAAAAGATCTACGGGGCTATTCACTCCATCCACCTGTCAGCCAGTGCAGTATTGTTCCCTACAGTATATAATGAAATCCAATATTCAGCGCAGTAGAACTTGGGCTATAAACCTCCCATTTTATATGATCAAAACATGTTCTGATTCAGAGGACATTGAGGTACCCGTCTTTTTCCACGTGAGCCAGAAAAGTCCCTCCCCCCTTTTTATATTGAAAATTAATGATCCAATTTAGAAAAAAGATTCCTCATAAATTCTGCACTTAGAGTTTTATGAAAATTAGATTCTTTAAAAGCACCGTACATCATGGGATGGTTTTATTTCTCTTTTCCCCCCGCTTTCTTTCTGCTTTGCCTTGTTAATTTCACTAGACTCTCAAAGTTAGCAGCACAATTAGCAAATATGTCTTGGGTTAAGGGTTTGGGAATGAGCTCATGTAATGCAATCTAAAATAATAAGAGGGAACACAGAATGCAGGCCTTACTTGTCAAGGGAGCTGCAAGTGTGCCTGTCTCCTCCGTGCACTTTTAAACATAGCCAGCAGATCTGAAAAACTATCTGCCAAAAAAACTTCAGGTTGGAGTTCTCTCAGTTTGTAGCTGGAAAGGGGGTGTGATGTGCTCGGTCATCAGGATGGACTGTGTGTGATGGAGGGGTGCGAGGTAAAGGAGAGGATGCCCTGGCTGCAGTGTGATTATAACACCTCCTGTCTGTTGCTCCATGGAGCGCTGCTGGCAGCACCGCTGAAGGGAAACATTTTTCTTGTTCTAATGGCCAGAAAAGAGGCCAAAAAGTGAGTGAGAGTGGGTAGGTGCGGAGGAGATGGGAAACAGGCGGAGGGACTTCATTGAAATTCCTTTTAGTTACATTCACTTTCAAGTTCCTTCAAAAAATCAGGCTTGAAGGAAATAGCGAGATCTTCTGAAAGTTAAAGTGTAGAAGGAATAAAATATTAAGATGCCTTTGGGACCCTACTTATCAAATAAACCCTGTTTGGGATATTTCCAAATGAATGTTATACACCTTTGCGTAGTAAATGCAAACTACATACATATATTTCCTGTAGATAACAGCAACTGGTTTTTGCTTCTTTCTCCTCATCTCTCTCACTAGGCACTATCTCTCAGTTACATGCCGGGCTGGAATGGGGCCACCGTATTGAGAAGATATTAAAAGTGTTCTCTTTGAAAGGAAAACTGAAAAAAAAAGGGGGTCTGGATTAGCTACTGCAACCCCCGAGGGGAACAGCAGTGATCTGGAAACGCACTGTGGGGATTTTATACCTATTTCCTTTGGTAATTTAACATAGAAATGGTGCTACTATAGCAAAGCCTCTATTACATGGTACTTTACATAGCCGAGTTCTGAGGCACGGGGCTTCTTCTGCAGAAGCAGCGACTAACAACTGTGAAAATTATTTTATATATACACAGTCAGCTGATAATACTACTTAGCACATGCTACACCTACAAGTCAACACAGCAGCCCATCTCTGTCCTCCTCCCACCTGCCTCTGAGTCAACACCGACCTTGCCTGGTCTGTGAACAAAGGGTATCGCTTTACTGGGCTCCCTTCAAAAGTCATCACCTCCTTCCTGCCTTACCACCTTGGCCCTTTGCAGCCTCAACCAATATCAGTTCCAGTGGATTCTCTTCTTCCACACTCACAATCCCTGCTGTTACTGGACTCATGACAATAGCCCTTGCTTGATCCCTTCCTCACTTGCTAATTACTAGAATCATAGAATCATAGAATCATAGAATATCAGGGTTGGAAGGGACCTCAGGAGGTCATCTAGTCCAACCCCCTGCTCAAAGCAGGACCAACCACAACTAAATCATCCATCTTCAACCTGAGGAGTATATGAAACTTTGCATCCCAGCTTGGAAAAGGTAGATGTGGTCTGCCATGCAGCATCGCTTGGATAAGGTACCTTTTCTGGAACTCTGTGAGCTCTCTAGAACATGGACCTCCAGTCCTGGCTATAACTTTCTGTTCCAGCTGGCAATATGAAAAGCTAGTTACCGTAAAGTATCAGAAAATCAGACAGATCTTTTCTAAGATCTGCATTGCCTAAGCATCTTCTGGTCTGCTCCAGCGGGCCATTGCAGAATTGTTCTGTGCACTAACTGGGTGCTAGGGAATTACCATGGTTCTGGAGAGAGAAGCCATTATAAAACGAATGTCTCCCAATGCCCAGATGTGTATTTCCCCTGTAGTCTCTTCCCTTCTGCAATATGATGCCCATGTACTGGCAGGATATATGTATATAATGTATTTAGTGTCTGTTACAGTGGCATTTCTTTCTACTGAATCCCTCTGGACCAGCTACACAATACACAGTGATATGCCCATCACCATCAACAATGATGTTCCTTGAGTAAACAGACTGTGGCCCTGGCCAAAAAAGACACACATCTTGTGTTTATACAGGTTCAGGTGCCGATGAGTGGGAATGTTGCAGTTGTGTAAACGTGCACAGTAATACTGCACAACAGGCCAGGACAGGGAGTGAAGAGGATTATGGTATTTAACGAGGACTGAGATAGGCAGAATGTAATTATCCAGACTAGAATCTAGCTAGGATAGCACTCTTAACTAAAGGGGTCTTGAATGGCTACAAGTGGTCAGGACTTCAGTTTTTATGTCTCATTCGAAAGACAGCACCCCCTGCAGCACATATCTTATAACCTCCTACTGGGGTCTTGGTTCATGTCTGGCTCAGCAGAAATAATATTTCTGTGGAGTGACTAACACCATTTCCCACAGCACTCTGGATACACACACAGGGTACATGTTATCTGGCTAAGGTGTTGCCACTCACTTACCAGTACTCAGATTCCAGTAGCATAGAATTTATGTGGCGTGAGTAGGAAGGCCCAAGCACTCCGCTGTGACTGATGGAAATGTGAACAGTACTGATGGCCCTAAGTCATTAGTAGTAAAGGGATCCTGCGGTGCCTCCTTGAAAGCACAAACAACAGCTATACACAGGTCACGCTGAGATTTTTCAAAACAAAAAAGGTGGAATCAAAAACCCAAGAGACTTGGCAATAGAGCTCAACGTCTCTGTTGTTAACGTTGCTTGGGAGTGTTGGCATTACACCGAGTCCTACCTGCCCAAAGAGAGGAGCGCTTACACCACAGCAGCTCCCACATGAGCTGTAATTGTTTAGAGCAGATAAGAGGGGCTTAGTGAACCATTAAGCCGGGCGGCTTGATCTCGTCCATTTCCCAAGAGACAAGTTCATTCCGTTACAGTCCTGTGGCATTTCAATAAATAAGTCAAATAACACAGGGGTGGGAGTCTACATTCCAAGAGCCCTTTGCATCAAATAAATCTGTTGTAGCTGCCTTCAACTTCAATCCTGCAGAGACTACAGATCCCAGCAGACATTATTCCATTTTATCCCAAACAGCCCTCGGCATGGATCAAGGTTTGAGATGGGGCAGAAGCAAAACCCTGGATCTGACCAACCATGAACTTGCAGGCAGTTTGGTGCTGGATCCAAACTGTGCCCATCTATCATCCAGTTGGAGTGCTGCATGCTGGGATCTGTAGTTCCCATTGGCTGTTCCAGTACATTAAAGACTTGGGCAGCTGTGGACCATATTGCCGGTTTCCATGGGTGGCATTAGCCCAGTGAGTGGCACTTCAACCGTCCCCGATAGTAAATGCCACCTGCACAGAGATGTTTACGCTCACATCACTGCTTCTATGCACCAGCTGAAAACAAAAGCACAATACAAATCTGACTTGTGAGTCTTTACCTGTCTTGTGTCCCGTGTGATCCCACTTTTTCATTCTTCATGCAGAAGTCAGGCGAGCTCTGCAGGTAAATCAGCTCTGTCTCTTTAACCGGCCTGATGTCAATATCCTTTGGTACTAATTGCTTGCGTGTGCCCATGGGTCGGTGTACCACCTTTGTGGCTGACAAGTACTTGTTTTTGAGGTCCTGTGCGATGTCTCTCAGTTCTTGAAGACCCTTCCAGCAGGTCTTGATAGAACAGGAACCAGAAACTCCATGACACTTACATTTCATTTCAAGAGAGGCTTTCAGGGCCTATGGAAAAAACAACCACAATGAGTTATGAAGTGGCCTTCTCTTTACTTAAATCTCCCACAGAATTGCTAAGAAATTAATGTCTTAACTGGATTGCAGTAAAGAGTATTCACTACTCTGGTTTCTGCACAACCAGGTTAAAGTACCTACTGTGCAAAGTGAAACACAGCTCACAGCTTGAAGATTGCTGTCAGCCTGGATATTATTTTTACTGTGGCACGTGTTAAGGCAGCACACAGAGCGGTGCCACAGTTTTCTATCATATTCCCACAGTGCTGGACACATCCTTTAAACTCCTGAGGAGCTGAAAGTTGAAGTAATTTGCAAATAAATAATCAATATGAAATTTGTGCCTTCCGCATATTTATACATTTGATAATGCAGATTTCAAAGCTTAGATTTATCCAACTCCGTGTGCAATGACCATATCTCCACATTAGCTGTAATACAGAACTGCTATATTATGCATTATATCGTTTCCTTTGATTTTGCAGTTTGCATAATTCCCAGAAGGCAACAGGAAAGATTCTTTGGGGGTGGGAATCAACAGAGCCGTGTCCCTTTACACTAGACAAGAATTTGCCAAAGGGGCTTAACCTTTAGAATTGAGACATTAAGGAGCGAATAGAAAGAGAGATGTGGTGCAGTGCTGTGAACTCCGCATACACTGACTCCCTGTGTGGCCATGGACAAGTCTCTCAGGAGCAAATTTTAGGAGACTGGCACTAGCGGGAGTAGCTGGGCCAGCCATTTGGGAAACATGCAGGGGAGGGAGAGAAGATGTTTCTCCCCCAGCCACAGTGGATATGTCTACACTGCACACTCAGCTGGGGCTCTGACTCGGGTTTGAGCCCAAGCCTCATTCTTGTCCACACACAAATCAGTCTTGGGTCAGCCAGCACTCGGGACCCGGGTTCTAGGACCCTAGCAGGGGAGTGGGTCCGAGCCCGAGTGCCACCATGACTCGGGTCCACAGACTCGAGTCAGAAGGTCTGCGTAGTGCAATGTGGATGCATTGTATGGCTGGGAAACCTGGGGCCACCATGGTAAGCCCAGGTTTACAATGCAGTGTGGACGTTCAAGAGCGGGCTCGTAAACGAGTCCACGGGTGCGGGTCCCACAGACCCAGGTCTACAATACAGTGTAGACGTGCCCTGAATGGTTACGGAGGTGCGCCACACAGACTGTCCCAGCACAGTGGCTGGAGCAGCCTCCAGAACCGCCCACTGGGGAGAGAGAGGACAGGAGAATCTGAGTAATGGCAGATCTACCAGCTTTGCCCCTGCCTATCCCCCACCCACTGAGCCCTGCAGGTGAGCTCCACCCTGCGAAAACTGGGGGTGCACCCTCGAAGCAGCCAGGCATCCAGCCTCCTCTCGAGCAGTGGAATCCACTGGAAGGGAACTTCTGCAGCCACAGCGACTGGAGCCAGGTTTCCCCTCCAATCTCTCTGAAACCATTTCTCCATTTGTGGAGGGCTGTTGAGGGGATTCGTTTATTAACATCTGCAAAGCGCCACCTTCATGGTATTGGTTACTTTGCAAGTTAATTTTATTGGAGAAAACTAATCTCTGGGCTCACTCAGGCCTGGTCTACACTAGGAAATTAGGTCGGTATAACTCCGCTGCTCAGGGGGGGTGAAAAATCGACACCCCTAGGCGATGCAGCTACGTGAACCTAAGCCCCAGTATAGACAGCACCAGGTGGACGGGAGAAAGCTACTGCCTCTCGGGGAGGTGGGGTACCTATTTGGTGGTGTCTTCACTGAAGCGCTACAGTGGCACCGCTGCCGCTTAAGTGTAGACAAGCCTTTAGACACTGCACTCATCACTGACACAACAATTTAAAAGCATCTTCCCAACTGACTCAGCGTACAGCTAGTACTCCTTACCAGTTACATGGCATTTTACATGGGCACAGTACTTCACAGACATTAACCAATTCGTTCACACAACACATCCTGGGGAAAACATCATCCTCACATTACGGATGAAGAGACTGAGAAAGGGAAGTGGCCTGGCCAAGGTCACATAGTGAGTCAGTGGCAGAGCCAGGATTAGATCTCAGGACCTCCTGACACCCAGCCTGTACTTGTGCTTCCCAACCCATCCATCATCCAAATGAAGAAACTGAGACAGAAAGGTTAGGTGATGCACCAGGCTCACAAAGGGAGAGTAAGGATACTTCAGTGGGAGAGGAAGGGTGGTCCAATCATTAGGACACTACTCTGGGACTTGGGAGAGCTGGACTGAAAACCCCGCTCTGCCACAGACTTCCTATGTGACCTTGGGCAAGTCACTTAGTCTCTCTGTGCCTCAGTTTCCGAGCTGGACAATGGGGAGAACAGCACTGCCCTATCTGCCAGGGTGTTGTGAGGATAAATTCATTAAAGATTGTGAGGCGCTCCGACACTGTGGTAGCAGGGGCCACATAAGTACCTTATACAGACAGTCCAGGCCAGAACTGAGACTTCAGGAGTTCCCGGTGCCCAGCCTAGGATACATGACCACGCCTTTCTCTCTGCTGCTCATGCCCATGAGTACTTAAAGGAATTTACATTTCTAGAGACTGAATTATATCGTCAACGCTTATACAGGCCACTGGGTAAAGGCCTGCTTCCGTAGCTAGCTGGTAGAGACACTGAACTTTCACAAAGCCATCAACCACTACAGAGGATTGTACAATGACAGTAGCTCTCTTTGGTTTGTTACCTGTCTCCCTACTTCACTGTTGTGCAGATGCATCAGCTTATGGGCTTGTGATCCTGATTTTTTCATCTTCATGGGAGCATCTGAAAATTTGGACCCCATGACAAGACCATAGTTGAGGTTGTCAGCACATCCTCCCCATCGATACCCAGGTCCAGGTGTCTCACCTGGGATGGGACCGCAGGAGCAGCCAGGGAGGTCCCCGGTGGTGCAGGCCCTGGCGATGGTGTGGCTGATGGTTGCAGCAGAGAGGGCATACACAAATGCTGACTCCCTTGTACCTGCAAGACAGAAGAACTGCAACTCAGCCACCGATGCCAACGTGATGGTACCTTCCAAAGAGAGGCCTGCACAGCCCCTGCCTCAGAGAAGACACGTCTCAAACACGCAGAGTAGAGAAGCGCGGCTGGAATCTTTTCTGCCGCGCAACCCAAACTTGGTGCTACCCAGGAGTACCTTGGCGCTTCGGTTTTATGAGTGAGCGACCCAAGCTGGACAGGCTGGCCTGAGGGCGTGTGTCACAGGGGCTGTGCGAGGGATATGGGTGAGGCCAGCGCAAGGTTTGGTCTGGCCCTATGTGAGAGTGTTACTCCAGTGAGGAGTGCAGGATAAGCATGTGTGCAGAATAGGAACGATATGCAGTTCCTTCCCTGCATATAACGAGGGCCCCAGCCCCTCTGCACAGCACGATAAAACTTGCCTCCCCCCACACACCTTGGACTCACTTCTCCCTGAGCCCTGCAAAGCCAGCGCCGACGGTTACCTCTCTCCAAATCCAGCAGGTAGTTGGGTGCCAGCTCAATGGAGGAGCAGTTCCACCGCATGTCGGCGAAAGTTCTGCGGCACGACTTTATCACTTCCCGGGCGGCCTGGATGATGGTTTGCATGAGCTCCAGGTTGCTGCGGCAGAGTTGCACTTGGGACACGACCAGGCCTTCTAGCTGCTTGCAGTGCTGGGTCTGATTCAGAGCAAGGACGGAGGGAGTCTTGGACAAAGCTCTGGGAACAAAACCATCACCAAAGCCATTAGAAAGTTAACCTTCCATTTGGCATTAGTTTCTCCTCTGCCAGGCTACCCAAGAACCACCTGCAATCACTTTGCCTTTGACACACCGTACCCCCCACCCCTTTTTAACTAAGGAAAATATTTCAATCCACCCAAAGGCTCTCAGAATGCCACACGGATCGAACAACATAGATGCTTTGGGAATTCTTTTGGACATGCCTACCCTGCAGCTAGGAGCGAGCTTCTGTTGAGGGGCTCACACTAGCCAGCCAAGCTCAAGCCAACCCTACCCCCTGGAACTGAGCTCAGGTGGCTAGCCTGAACCTCCGCTGGTGCTGCAGTGTCCACACAGCTATTTTCCGTGTGCTAGTGCAAGGATCTCCCAAACACTTGGAAAATGACCCACCAGCTCCATAACGGATAGCTAGATCTTCCTTTGGCTTTAAGAAAGCAAGCTACATAGGCACCATCAGTGTTCTGCATTCAGAATCCACCTCACACACCCACAAAGGATTATGCTAAATGTCCAAGTATGTAATTACAGGGGGGGAAATCCGCTGCTTAGCCTAGGAAAAAACCTATCGAGTTTCCAAAACAGATGCTTCACCATTGAGTTAAAGCAAACCGCTCCACCAGTGTAATTACCATTAGGCTTAGATAAGTTAGTGTCAATATCTTCAAAAATCCGGTGCAACAGCAAAATGACAGTAATGGAAAGGCAGCATCCTGGAGAAAGTTGAGAGCTAGTCCAAAAACACCAGCGCAAACATTACCATGAAGCAACATAGAAGGCAACAATACACCATAGACCACTGGCCCACCTACTCTGGTAGCCTTCCTCCAGCAGTTGCCAACATTTGATGCATCAAGTGAAAGGAAAACAAGGGAACTGATTATGCCATGCAGCACCTTTGGGCATGTGATTCATCCCTAGCCACCCACCGGTGGTCAGCTGAAGAACAGAACATGGCTGCCTTTGTATCTTTATGATCTACCTAGTGCAGCTGTAAATATTCTTCCTGATCATGAAACTAGTTTATAACTCTCTGCGTCATTAACCGGTGAACAATCCTGCACAGGCTGGCGATATGCTGCCATAAAACGTATCTTCTATCCGTAGTTAGTGTGCTGCCTTTCAGCTTCATTCTACACCACCCTGACCTCCTAGGTGAGTTTTGTTGATTAATGGGCACATTTATTTTATTTACTGCTACCGCAGATAAGTGATTCACAACTTAAACAAAAAACCCAAAACAGATTTCGAGATGGGCCCAAACCGCCACACTTGCTCTTTGCTCCCCACTCTCATGCCCACCCTTGGGGAATTCATATCCGCATTTGAATCTCACGGAACTGGCCCTTACCGCGACTATGAGATGAACCGAACCTGAAAACCCAAACAATGTCTTAAATTCCCTGTTTGTCACAAACTTCCTTTGTGCCCTGGGGCTGGGAGTTTAGTTTTCCTGTGTTCCAGTTCCCTAGTTGTGGAGAATAGCAGTGCCCCACCTCACAGGGATGTTGTGCAGATAAATACATTAAAGAATGTGAGGAGCTCAGATACTATTGCAAGGAAGGCCAGATAAGTTCCCATGGTTGATAGATAGCATTCTGCATCACTTGAAACGTCTGCCTGCTTTTCAAGGGTAAGCCCTAAGCAGAGTGCTTTGCAGAAATCCCTGGTCAGTTTTCACCATGCTCTTCATTATCAGGTTTTGTCTATAACGTCCCTACATGCAGCTCTGGAAAATAATCTCATTGCTTCTCATGAGCTGGCAGGAGGAGGAGGAATTTCCTGTTACCTGAGCATCATACTGAGTGATATGGAACTAGGTAAGCATGGGTTGACACAAGTGATATGGCCTGGCAGCTGGGAAGATAATGCATCACCTCATTATAAGCACATGAACTACTTTTAAGGAGGAACTGCCCTGTCTGAAGACTGGCACAGGTAGATCCAGAGTTAAAGTCAATTAGAGCTGCAGGTGCTTAGTAACTTGGAAAATCAGGCCCTGGGGACCAGATCCATCAGCAAAAGATCTGCCACTTGGCGTCTAAAGTTTGGCATCCAAAACCCTTGAAAATTTGACTATCAGCAACTCTCAGGAACTGACTCAAAAGCTAGTTAGGCAAGAGGCCAAAACTAGTGTGAGATTCAGATCACACCTAATCATAAATACAACAAAGGTGATGGCTGCTCGGGAAGCAGTATATTCCAAGCCGCAAAATAAACAAACATATTGGGTACATCTACACTGCGGAAAAACTCCGTGGCAGCGAGTCTCAGAGCCCAGGTCAACTGACTTGGGCTCGCGGGGCTGGTGGTTCGGGGCTAAAAATAGCAGTGTAGATATTCCTGCTCAGGCTGAAGATCCTCCAAAGATCCTCTGAGATCCTCCCCCTCACTCCAGCCCAAGTGGGAACATCTACCCTGCTATTTCTAGCCCCATAGCACAAGCCCTACAAGCCTGAGTCAGTTGACTTGGGCTCTGAGACGCGTTGCCTTGTGGGTTTGTTTGGTTTTGGGGGGGGGAGCGGTATTGTTTGGGATTTTTTTTGCAATGTAGATGTACCCAGTAAGTCTGATCAAGTAAAAGAGTTCTGCCTAGGCTTGCAGAACTAGACTGTCCCGACCGGGCATGGAAGGTTGGATTCATTTAGAGAGAAAACAGGTGTGTCCGAAATGCTGAAGTTCAGGTTGGGACAACTTAGAACGGATTTGATCTGTTGCTTGATATGGCTGGGAAAACAGGACCACGGAGACATGAAAGGAGCCTGCTGAAATATGGCATTGCTCCAGATAAAGTGGGATTATCACCAGCAGGGAAGAAGCCACATGAGTGAGCATTATGCAACAATGTGGAATAAAGCAAGATGTTTATATGGAAAGGAAGCTAGAGCATTTCAGGGACCCAGCCAGCAGAAATTGAGGTCATTTAGAGGAAGAAATGTTGCAGCCCAGGGGAGGCCCATCAGAAGATGACGGGAAAGCAAAGGAAAGATGGCTGGAAAGCATCACAGGTTATGTCAGTGCTAATGGTGCAGTGGAAGGGAGTGATATGAACAGAGGGGCTCATAGCAAAATGTGTTACCACAGCACTTGCTGATATTGATGGTGAATTTTAAGGCTAAAATGTTTCAAAGTGACTGTGCAGTCATAAGAAACTAGGAAGAGTGGAAGGATTTGCAATAAGGCAAAGAGAGAGGGATGCATTATAAATCCAAAGAGAGGAATTCAGGAATTGGAGGCAATCGCTGTTTCTTGTTGAGTAAGTCGCACTCTGGGGAGCCGGCCATGAATAAAACACAGGATGCAGAAATCTATGTTGTGACCAACTCACATGCTTGAGCTTCATGCCTTAGCTTACGAGAATTTATAATTGGAAACATCTCTGAGTGTCAGGAGGAAAATGAAGAGAGTAATGGAGATGGAAAAGAAAACTCATATTTATTGGAGACACTTGCAAAGAATGAAATACATATTTATAAATCATGTAGATTAGGGATGCAAGAGACGCGTTAGGTCATCTAGGGCAATGGTTCTCAACCTTTCTGGGCTCAGGATCCATTTGTAAATGTTTATGGCCTGTTGCGACCCAGTAAACAGCCTGGGGGTGGAGGCCATAGGGTGGCTTCGGTTGGCGTCTACCCCCCCCGGGGGGGGGTTGGGCCCTGCCTGGCACTCACCCCACTCTGGCAGCTCCTGCAGTTCCTGTGCTGTGGGGCTGGCTGGGCATGGCTCTCTGCTCCGGGCGTTGCAACCTCTGGGGTTGCAGCCCTGCTCAGGTTTGGCCCCGCCCCTGACTGGACCAAATTTGTGTGAGTGCAGTTGTGACCTGGCCCATGGGGTTGCAGTGCCACTCACTCAAATTTGGCCTGTCATGATGATGGCTGGGCCAGACCTGAGTGGTGCTGGGACCCCAGAGGCTGCAGGGTGCAGGGAGGCGAGCCCAGCAGCCAGCCCCATGGGACAGGAGCCACCACACAACCCTTTGAAACATTCTGGCGACCCAATTTTGGGTCCCGACCCACGGGTTGAGAAACCCTGATCTAGTGCGTGTCTCGGACGTTGCAGGTTTGGTTGATCTCTATTGCGCAGCCGCAAGTGGTTTGTCCCCAACCAATCTAATTTTAAATAACTCCAGAAATGATGCATCAGCGGGCTATTTCATAGCATAACTGACATTTTATGCTCCCTATCCTGCTCGTTTACAATGACAGTTGGTGTCATTGGTGGAAAGGCTGGCTGTGCCTTAGAAGGATGCTTGTTTGCCATGTTGTTGTAGCTGTGTCGGTCCCAGCATATTAGAGAGACAACGTGGGTGAGGCAATATCTTTCATTGGACCAACTCCTGCTGGTGAGAGAAACAAGCTTTCGAGCTACACAGAGCTCCTCTTTGGGTGACAGATATTACCTCATGCCCCTGGTCTCTTTAGAAAGACACTGTGAGGTAAGGGAGGCCCAAAGAAATAAAACCCACCTTACCTAGTCCTACGAGGAGCCCCCACTGCATAGGGGGAGTCTTTGATGGCAGGGAGTCTCCATCGGAGCTCCTCCTTCACCCCCACCCCAGCTGCTGGCAGAGGGAGAATGTCTAGAGAAAGGGGGCATGGAGGGGATTTCCCTGCACCCCATCTAATCCCAGAGGTTGCAACAGACTCTTGTGGGCAGGTGGCCCAGATTAACACAGGCTTTAGGATGCTGGGGTTCACTCCAGGGGATGGCCCGAGAATCGGAGGGGCACAAGATTGCAACACAGCCACTATTACCCCCCATTCTCCCGCGTGGACTTGCACAGAGACTCCAGAGCAGGGGGTGTTATTGGATGTTTTCTTTCATAAATGTCACTTTTTACAATTTCATAATTCTAGCTGCCCTTCCCTTTACTACCCTAAACAATCCTTCATTCTCCAGGATGCTGAGGAGGACTGAGGGTTTGGGTTTTTTATTCAACCCTTCCCTTTAAGTAAACAGGTTTCAAACCAAATTTAT